CCCCCCCGAATAAAGCTGAAAAGTGATGTTTTACAATTTTTCCTTTGCATAAATATGCATCTTGGTGGAAACTTGCTCTTTTTTATTAAGGCTAATCAAAGTGTCTCTCTTTCCAGCTGGGGAGAGAAGTGGGGTAACAAAGGATACATCTATATGGCTAAAGACAAGAAGAACCACTGTGGCATAGCGACAGCAGCTAGCTATCCACTGGTATAACTTGCTGAAGAAGACTAAGCATTTTTGTGCAAAAGGGGTTTTAAACTGATTGACTGAACACATGTTGACACATGTGGTAGGACACTTGTATCTTCAGAGAGTCAAGTTGTAACTTTTTTTTAAACTTGAGTTCTTTGAGTTTTTACACGTTGGTGACATGCCACTTGTTTAAATTAATGTAAATGTTGGTATGTAAACAGCTTGCAATATTGTTGGCTTGAAGACTGATTACTCAGACTTTGTATTATTCCTTTTTTAATTAATGTGCCCAAAAGTTTACTTTTTAAATAAACACTCAAATTCCAGTGTGTACAGGTGACTCTGCTTTTCTTTTTATATGTATTGACTGGGTTTTAAGAATATCTATCTGATTTAAGTGACCGTATCATACAAAGCTTTGTGCACAATTCGCTTTAATCAGCCACTAAAATGTAGCCAGATGGAGGAATGGAAAGGAACACTGTTTATAGTATGCTCCCTAGTATAGACTGCAAAGGGCAGGAAGTCTTAAAATTACTGTAGGCAGCTGAAAAATACAATGGTAGAACTGTGGGCTTCCGTTTTAAGAATGGGCTTGGCTGCAGTGGACAATTTTAATAAGGCATATCAGTCGTGTGATCTTGGAGCAAATGGGTTGAGCTCCTCGTAACTCACCATCTCATTCCAGAGCTGGTACCCTCATCCACTTCTTGCCCCACAAAAATAAACTTGTATAAACAAGTTGTATCTGATTCTGCTGCTATAATTGTGACCCTACAGTACAGTCTAGAAAAACGGGCCAGTGTCCTCTCATTATATCTTCAGGGAGAAAAAGGGGGTGGGGGAGTGTACTCTTTTTTTTTTACTGTTTAGCTATGGCTTCAAATACTTTAGCATTTTTACATATGATTATTGTGGAAAATATATTTCCACTCTCAGTTTCAAACTTTTAAAAATGCAAATCTAGGACAGCTGAAGAGCTTTAAAAAAAGTGGCCTACATTTAGTATGCTTTCTAGGAAGTGGAAAAGCTGTTTCTCATTCACTTTGCTTTTTAAAACGTGTACAGGAAGCAATCTGGTCTCTCTGGGTTTTCCCTAATCTTTCTTCTCTCTCCCCAAGTAACGGATTGCTGAAATAATACTATCCAGTTTGTGTTGCATTTGGAACCTTAGTTGACCCATTTCAGCTATTTTGTTTGATCTTACTAGCGCAGATTTTACTGCTAGAAAGTCTTTTATAATTGCAAAAAGGTTCGAAGGGCAGATTCACTTCAGGTTGTTTCTAGCTGAAACCTTTTAGGACAGTTGCTTATATTGGGGTCACTTGGTCAGTTTATACATTTGCACTTGGGCAGCTACAGTGGTACCAAGATACACCATGCATGAGGATAAGACTAAGTGCATACACAAGAGCAGTTCTTATGTTCAAGTGTAGGATGGTGGTGGCTTTGTTTTTTCTGATTGAAAGCAACATATGTAAGGTAACACTGGAGTTGGGGGACATCAGCTGTAACTATATAGCTGTTTTGAGGGGGGTTTTGAGCATGGTTTGTTTTTTTTTGTTTGCTCTGTTTTTGTTTTCCGCTGGGGCTCTGGAAAATATAAAGTACCAAACACATGATTGATTATTAATGTACTTAAAAATAAACAGTGCTAACTCTCATTTCCCCAAGAGAAGTTTCTGGGGAAAAAGGCATGAGCCGTATCGGCAAAGATGCTCGCTAAACAAATTTGCTAAAATTCATAACTAAGGCTTGGACTATGTAGAAATGGAAACTGCAGTGGAATGGTATGTTTTATGAATAGGGCTCAAACAACACCCTTAGTCTGTTTAATTATACTTGGGGTCTTCCTCGTCGGACACTGTATCTGATCATGAAACACAAGAGTTTAGAGAGTTGCAGAATAAATAGGGAAGAGACTTTTCTGATGCTGTTCTTTGGGAGTCCTGCAGAAAGGGACAGGAAAGGTTGGACCAAGAACCCAAGGATTGATGGAAATAGCCAGAAAAACACACAGCTCTAAAATCGAAAGGGATTCCTTCTTTCAGGAGGAAGTAAATAATTTCTTAAGAATTGAATATGACCCCCTGTACGAGATTAGTCTCAGATCTGATAATCCAAGTATTTGTACATTTTATTTTACTTTACCTTTCTATTTGTCTTGGAGTAGAATATCAGGGTGTCAGGAGTATCTGCAGTCCTGTGGGTGGTTTTTGAATGCTTATGTGGATGTTTTTAAATAACAATTTTGCCAAAGCATGTCTTTGCTATAGAACTTAAGCTGTCATATATGTGCAATTTCTATTTAAACATGCAGATTCAAGTTGCATCTATCTTCTGTTTCATAGTTATAGTAAATCCCTTTCCAACTGTCTTAACTTCTAAGGGAAACAAAATAACACTTTGGAAATGTTTCTTATTTGCCATGCTCTCTAAGCAGGATACTTTGGACAGATCTCACAACAGTCTTGATCATATTGCTTGCTGAAGCATTTAGTAAACAGTTATCTTGTGCAAAAGGAAATTGCATGAATTGTTTCTAGAAACAGCATGTACAACTAAACTAAAAGGTTTTCCACAACCCACGTCTTAGGCATTTTTACACATGCAAGTGCTGCAGTGCTGGGCACCTTGAAAAGCACTTGGCACTGTGTTGCTTGCTTTGTATGAGCCGCAAAACATACGTCAGCATGTAGAAAACAGCGGTTGCACACTTTTGAACTAAAATGCACATAGGAGGTGCTTCAGTTCAACAGCACACCACCACTATGTTCTCTGTGCTGACATGCATTTTGCCACTTATACAACTGCAAGTGATGTAGCACAGTGCACATCAGCTTGTGTGCAGAGTAGGCTCCATCTTAATAGTCTGTTACCATGTACCAGATTTCCCGTGTGTCTGGGCATGAAAAGGTATGTGTATAAATGCCCGTTATCTGGTTTTAATCGGGAGGTTTTATGGCTCTATATTGCCAATACTAGTTGAATTGTTTGTATTTTGTTTTGTTTTTGAAAGATGATAAAGATTCCTGATCGGGAGTCCTAGAAACCATAAAGTTCCTCATTTAGTACCTGTGTCTATTGAAGCGTCTATCCTTAAATTTTGCAGTATTGGAACACTCTACAAGTATATCTTAGAGTTCAAGAATCTCTGTCCTTGGCCAAGGGTCTATAGCAGAGTTCAGTCGTGTCTTCAGGTGCAATGCCAAAAACACTAGCAACTTTGACTTGATGTTGGCATGCTAGGGGCAAACTGGGGAAGTGCAGCCACAGCCCTATCCCTGAGGTGTGCGCAGCAAGCAAAATGCCTGTGTGCCGTGCTCTGGCATGTGTGCCAGAAAAACCCACATGTACCACCTTTACACTTCCAACATACTTAAATATACAGTTTGGCCATGAAGTATGGACAGATTTGAATTAAGCTACAAGCCTGTTGTTGGCAGTTCTACATATGATTTGGGACCACAACCATGGCTCATTTCTTCCTATACTGTCGCAATGTCCTGGTTTCACTACAACGTGGGGTAGGTTTATAATTGTACCTGTTGTGGGTGGGCAGTTCTTGGGGCTGTGGGACCTTATTCTAAAAATACCTTAGGAATAATAGTTTTTCTGATCTAATTGACAAATGACTGTTTCTGTATGTGTAACAATCATATGACCTATTGCATATATTCTCAAGGATAAGTTAGTTCATGGAAACAATGAAGGGTTACCATTCATGCAGGAAGAGCTGTTCTTGAAACTGCAAAAACAAATGTACCTATATAGCTTGTAAGAAGCTAACCCTTCTAACCCCTGATATGTTTGAAATGTTGTTCTTTGCACGGGTGCTGTGATCACCTAATCTTCTGACATTTCCCACTTACGGAGAACATTACATTTTGGAGAAAAGTGGGTGGTGCCATGATCAAATATATTTTATTCTCCAGCTTTGTGAAACTTAATCCAAACCCTCACAAAAATGTTTGATTTGAAACCATTTTTTTTTTTTTAATGATTGAAGTCCTTATGATTGCATAAAACTCTGAGTGGCCAGTGATTTGCAAAGGTACAATTGTTTCCTTAATTAAGTTCTACTGCAGAAATTAATCGACCAAATATGTCTTGAGGCAGACAGGAATGAGGAAATGGTCTTTACGTAAGCATGTTGGAATATGCTCACGGAAGTCAGCCTTTGAACATAAAAAAGTATTTGTTGCTTTTAGTAACTGAGTGTGTCTCTCTCTACACATTCTATAATTATTCATCATGGTTATGTTTGTATATATAATAGGACAGGGGTGGTGGGGAATTATTTGGGCCTGGGGGCTGCATAGGGAGTTTTGATGAGTTGTCAGAGATTGGTCAGCACCCCCCTCTTTCCACCTCATTCCTGCACAACAACTCACAGAAAATCTGTGTGGGATGGGGCCATGGGTAGGTGGGGAGTGATGTTCGGGAGTAGGACAGGTGATCTGCTCCTTGCACACCCCTGCCCAGTGGGGGAGGTAGGTTGCCTGGGCACTTGGTCCCAGGAGGGTGGGAGGTGTGTGCAGCAGAGCTCACCCAGGCGGAGCAGTCCATGATGCTTTACATGGGGTTGAGTTTTTTGCTGGCTCCTGCCCAGGACCACCCATGCCATGCACTTGCCACCACCACCCCAGGTAACATGAACAACTTACTGGCTGGGCTGCTCCCAGTGCAGCAGCTCTCTTTATTGCCGGTGGTGGCTCCTCCTGCTTCTGCCTCTGCTGCACAGCTCCAGGCAGGGGAGGAAGCTGCAGCTGTGCAGCTCCTGCCCCAGCATGTGGGGCTTTGGCTACAGCTCCTGGCCACCGTTCACTTGCTCTGCCCCTAGGTGGATGCTTACCATGCCAGGCAGGTAGAGTGGGTGGAAGGCAGTCAGGAGCTGAAGCCATCCACAGTTACGCAGCTAAGCATTGCCAGCCATGGACCAGATTGCAGTACAACACCAGATATCCTCCACATGAGACAGGAAGGAGGAACCATAGGACAGCCCTTGTCAGATGTTTTAAAGATGAAGCTGAGGAAGATGGACACTAGAAAGGTAAGCTAAAGTTAGAAATAGACCTATAAGTACAGCCTGTATGATCGCCAAAACCCAGAATACCACTAGCTATGACAGAGCCACTCAAAGAGGAGAATTATTAAACCAGTGAAAATTAACACTCATTGGATCAGCAGCCTGGTAGTGGTAAGAAAATCATTTGATAAACTGAGGATTTACATATATATAAAACCTTTTAGCAGGGCTTTGAAAAGAAGCCATTATCCTTTGCCTACTTTCAAGGACATGCTCCCTGAGCTATCTAATTGTGGTACCACAGTATGGCT